GATGGAATATTCCTGAACTACAACTGGACAGATAAGACACTCCACAACTCTCTGACAATGGCCAGGGATAAGGGGAGGGATATGGATGTATACGTGGGGATTGATGTCTTTGGTAGAGGGTGCTTAGGGGGAGGAGGATTCAACACTGTAGAGGTAAAACCCGTGTAAAGTTTACAATATATTTAAAAGTTACGGGTAATGAAAAATCATTTCATTGTAAGCATCAATTTGTTATAAGTGTGTTTGTTGTAACCTTGTGTTTTACAATATACTGAAAGACTTGATTTATATAAAGTCTTTCAGTTTTCTTTCTGTAAAATATTGATATTAATGATTTGCAAAAGTAATATTTTTGTTTTTTTTTCAATTTGAATTATATCAAGTCTCCTTATTTAGGGAACGTTTTTAAAAATACAATATAAAAATACAAGTGTAAACTGAAGTTTTCGAAATAAAATTTTAAAATATACAAGTGTAAACTGAGCAATCATTTTGTTTGAAAGCTCAATAACTTACTCATTTGAAGATCAAGATTGTATAAGATACAGCTGTTTGTAGGAGTGTTAATAATATTTTATATGCTTACAGGCCCTTGCAGCTATTAGGAGATTCAACATGTCTGCTGCTATATTTGCTCAAGGATGGGTCATGGAAACACAAGAAAAAGAGAAGTTCACAGAAAATGAAAATAAGTAAGTTGAACAGTGGCTAAGTATTGGAACAGAATTCTACTTTTCAGGAATTTTTATCCATGGTAACAATGGAGACTTTCTAAAATCTGAATTGATATGCCATGGAAATGTTTTGGTATGTTTGTAAGACATATGTATTTTATATGAACCCCTTTGTTCTGATTAATGCAGATTTTGGAGTATGCTGGATTGCCTCCTGCCTGCTAGTGAATTAACCAATTTTCCTTTCACCACCTCATTTTGCCAAGGGTTTGGAAAGAAGTACAGTTTACTTGGTGAGGTAAGAAAATGTGTATATTGTCATGACTAGGGGAACAAGAGATTTTGTGTGAAAGCGCTCACCTATGAACTTGCAGACTAAAAAAAAAAAATAAGACAAATTCATCTACAATTTAGCCAAAAACCTATTTTAGTCATCATAGACATATTACTGAAAACTTCAAAGATGTTGTTACATTTTTCTGAAGAAAAAAATTAAGAAATGCTGTTTTATGTATAAAAACTTTGCAAACAACACGTATCTGAAAAATATTATTGACTGATTTTAAATTGTTTTGCTTTGACAGGTCATTCATGAGAAGCCATGGTATAATCTGTCTCTCCAGGAACTCCAGCCGACCTGTACAAACTCCCAGTTTCTCAGGCATCATCTGCAGTACCAGCCAGCCATAGATATTTGCACAGACGACCCACTGACAGGAGGAGCCTGTCTAAGTCTCAGTGGAAAATTGTCTGTGGATGGACAGCCACTTTTGTTCAGGTATAGATAAGGATGAACAGATATTTTTGGACAGAATGTTTTTTGAATCTCCAATGTAGTTCATGCTGAGTAAGAAGTAACATATCTTGATATTTTTATTATCATCAATGTAGGAGGGGGATTGTATTACTTGTAAATACAGTTTTAAAAAAACATTCTGTAAGAATGGAAGTTTTTTTATTTTTCCAGTTTGGATATTAACTCTCTAATCTTTATCAGAACATTTCACCTTGATATTGAATTTTCAAGATGTCACCCATGAAACTATGAATATGATGCAAAGGGAGATAAATGTTGCAAGAAACACATGTAAATTTTTTTTATAAAAGGTTCATGTATAATTTCTTCCAAGTCATTGTACAAATGACAGATTGAGACCAGCTTCTATGTGTAGATGTATATTGCTGTATATCACCTTTTGGATTTTCAGATTATTTGATACATCTATTACTCTGCCTCAAGAAGACGTCATCATGTCTTACACATACAAAATGAGCAGCACCACGACCTGTGATTTGTTCCTACAACTGGAGGTCCAGGAAAGTAATGGATCTAATCAGTTGTGGATTTTGCGAGATACGAAAGTATCTCAGGTCCCACAGAATATGACAGTATATAATTCACTGTCTGATGCCGAAGTTTTGGATTTGATCCCTAGTGTGAAAGCATCACCAAGCAATGGTTGGATTACAAGGTATTTGACATTATGAAGATAAAAATGTATGCATGAAAAGTCCAGTTACTAAATAACGTAATGTAAGAGTAGATATTATTTGATTTCAGGTATTATTGTATCAAGTCAAAGGGTGGTTCAGCAATTAAATCCATCAGCTTTGGCTTGCAGTCCACAGGATCCCTTGACAAACAGTCCATTCAAATAGGTCATTTACAGGTAAACACTTTATTGCTTTATCTACAAGTATTTAATTGAATGCAGTGTTTGTATAATGTTATTATTCCACCTCAACAATTGGGGAAAGGGTGGTTTAAATAACAGTTTCTGTTTATCATACTAGTTGTCTGTATGTGCAAGGTAGAGCTACAAGTTCATGTCACTCTTTGACTAATTTTGAGAGGTATATCCAAATCCCACTTGCAGACTGGTACATCAGTGGATAAATAATTAATGAGCTGCATGCATTGCTGGTCCCTTTGCAGGGATTATCTAGGCCAACTCTAGTTTAACACTACTTTGACAATAAATGTACTCTTTTTCCACAGATTGTTGCACTGAAAGACCTTCAGTCACTTCCAACAAATAAGGATATAGAACAAGTTCAGTGGGAGACCTCGGAGGAAGGGAAATCTAAGATTTCCTGGCAATTTCCAGAAGACAATGCCGTTACTTATTATAATGTGTACTCAGCTTCAGAGGGCAGCAAATGTTTACTAGGACAGAGTAGAACAAAATGTTTTTATACCGACTCAAAGAACAAAGGACATTTGTCTATACAGCCAGTTTTCTTTTCTTCTATCCCAGGAAAGACAACTTCATGCTAGCCAGCTAGCTTCAATGTCATAATTAGCTAAATTAGCTCAGGGAATAGCAACACCATGTCAAATGGCGAGCTCAGTTACCATGTCAAGGCTAGCTAGACTAGCTACATTCTTGACAGCGTTTCATTGTGTGATCCTTTTAAAATATATGATTATCTACTAAAACTTGCTAACTGAAAAAAAAAACATTATTATTGAAAACAATTTATTTTCTTTTGTTGTACATAAAATGAAAATTATGTACAAAATAAAAAAAAAAAACATGTAAATTTTCCATTTTTTCACCTGTCTATGATTCATATATTTTATTAACTTCCAAATAAATGTATAAAAAAAGAGAGAATATTGTTCATCTTGTTTTCTGTACTTTCATTCTGCACAAGTCTTTCCATTTTTCCATTTTTGGAATTAAATGTTGAAAATGTGTGTAAATTTTATCAAAAGTTCTGCAATGTTGAAGAATCTCATTTCAGAAATTGTGCAAAAATTGACAAAATGTTGCAGAGGGAGAAAACACTTATTTTTACTTTTCATTCAATACAATGGTGTATATGATAATAGCACATTCAAGTGCAGAATAAATATGTCACTTTATAATATTGAAATGACCTACTTCTTTAAAAAAAAAATAATAATAAAAAAAAATAAAGCTTCTTTCATTATACAAATATTTTTCAACTAATAATAATAATTAGCAAAAAAAGAAAAAAACAAACCCTATTCAAACCCTGTATGTTTTCTCTATGCCTTGAAATTTCATAAGAAAGCGACAGTAGGTAAAAGATACGGCATTGAGGCAACAAAAAATAAAGCTATAATGTATAAAATCTAATTTCTTGTGATAATGATGTTGTGGTTTATGAATTTATAGACTAACTGAAAGCTTAATGTAGAAACATATTGGCAAAGTGTAGAAAGTTTGCGTATATTTTTGCTGTATTAAAATAACAAGAGGCCCATGGGCCACATCGCTCACCTGAGCACTAAGGGTAGGAAATAGTAGAAAATGGCTTTCTATTGTAATGTTTAAATCCAAAAGTAGTCCCATGACAAATCATGGATTTGCTATTTTTAGAAAATGATTTTTAAAGAATTTTCCTATATATATCTTTAAAAATTTTGGTCAGCCATTTTGACCCCGCCCTACCCCATGGGGTCATGATTTGAACAAAATTGAATCTACACTACTTGAGCATGCATGCTTCCATAAAAATATGATGAATTATGGCTTTGTCATTCTTGAGAAGAAGATGTTTAAAGATATTTCCTCTTTCTATGTAAAACTTTGTCAGCCATTTTGGCCCCGCCCTACCCCTAGGGGTCATGATTTGAACAATCTTGAATCTACACTACCTGAGCATGCTCCCATATAAATTTGATGAATTATGGCTTTGTCATTCTTGAGAAGAAGATTTTTAAAGAATTTTCCTATATATTTCTATGTTAAATTTTGGTCGGCCATTTTGGCCCCGCCCTACCCCGGGGGGTCATGATTTGAACAAACTTGAAACTACGTACACTACCTGAGCATGCTTCCATATATATATGATGAATTATGGCTTTGTCCTTCTTGAGAAGAAGATTTTTAAAGAATTTTCCTATATATTTCTATGTAAAACTTTGGTTGGCCATTTTGGCCCCTCCCTACCCCCAGGGGTCATGATTTGAACAAACTTGAATCTACACTACCTGAACATGCTTCCATGTAAATATGATGAATTATGGCTTTGTCATTCTTGAGAAGAAGATTTTTAAAGAATTTTCCTATATATTTCTATGTAAAACTTTGGTCGGCCATTTTGGCCCCGCCCTACCCCCGGGGGACATGATTTTAACAAACTTGAATCTACACTACCTGAGCATACTCCCATATAAATATGATGAATTATGGCTTTGTCATTCTTGAGAAGAAGATTTTTAAAGAATTTTCCTATATATTTCTATGTAAAACTTTGGTTGGCCACTGTGGCCCCTCCCTACCCCCGGGGGTCATGATTTGAACAAACTTGAATCTACACTACCTGAGCATGCTCCCATATAAATATGATGAATTATGGCTTTGTCATTCTTGAGAAGAAGATTTTTTAAGAATTTTCCTATATATTTCTATGTTAAACTTTGGTCGGCCATTTTGGCCCCGCCCTACCCCCGGGGGTCATGATTTGAACAAACTTGAATCTACACTACCTGAGGATGTTTCCCCATAAGTTTCATTTTTCCTGGCACAGTGGTTCTTGAGAAGAAGATTTTTAAAATATGCCACCAAATTTTCATTAATTCCCAATTATCTCCCCTTGAATGAGGGCGTGGCCCTTCATTTGAACAAACTTGAATCCCCTTCCCCCAAGGATACTTTGTACCAAGTTTGGTTGAAATTGGCCCAGCGGTTCTTGAGAAGAAGTCGAAAATGTGAAAAGTTTACAGACAGACAGACAGACGGACAGACAGACGGACAGACGGACGCCGGACAAAATGTGATCAGAAAAGCTCACTTGAGCCTTTGGCTCAGGTGAGCTAAAAAGGGGGCTGCTTAATACATACTTGTGTTCTTCTTTATATGTCTATAACAGTTGAAAATATATCTTAGATAATGCTTTCAATACATATTTATTATTATATATAATATGTACAATACACAAATGAATTCAAACAAGGCTAGCAAAGATACCAGTAAACTATTATTGCAATCAAGATTCAGCATAATAAATAAGCATCACTAGGCATAAAATACATGTACACTGTACTAAATGATAACAAAACATGGAATGCACAACGATGGAATACTTGATAACATGAACAATAACATAAAACAGTCTAAAAATAGATATTAGCATTTGCAACAAGTGTGGAAAGGGCTAAAGATTGGGAAAGAAGGATTATATACATTTATTGTTTAGCACAGTTTTGATTGATTTATTTTATACCAGAATACACATACTGTTATAAAAAAAACTTTAGTATGGATTCAATTTTGACATATCAGTATATTGGCATATTTGTTAAAGAAGACAAGTGATTTTTTTTTTCAAAAAATTATACAGAGAAATTAATCATCCTTCAAATTTTCCAGAAAAAAAATCAAAGTACAGGATATGGCGATTTTTTCCAAAAATAAAACGTGAAGCCTTCAGTTTTAACAGATACATGTACTTGATGCATGCAATGACTTTGAACCAGGAAGTCCCTAGAAGATGTAAATTGCTAGATTTACTACATGCACATAGTACTTATAATTTACACTTAAACACTTCTGTATCTCCACCCAAGAATCATCTCAGACATTTTACAAATACAGGCATCTTAATTAACAAAAGACTAAATGCATCATTCTGCCATTTAATTTTTGTTTCATTGTTGAATATGCTGCCCAGGTATATATACAATCATGCATGTAGGAATGAGCGGGTCTAAATTTTCTTTCCATACTGGAGTTCACTTTCATCATCTTTATTGTACTTGTAAAATTATCAGGAAGGTGAAATTTCAAATACAGGCAGAAAAATAAGTACAGGCAAAATATTATTCCCTCTACACTATGGAACAGTTATAAACATTAATGGTCACTCCACAACAATTGTAACAATTCATTACCCAATTCTAAAACATAGTTTCTTTTATAGTGGCATATTTATATTGACAACAGATCTGAAAACCACATAATTGTATCATTAAAGATGCATCTTAAAGTTTCTTTGGTATAAAAAAGGTAATTATTTATATAACCCTGTATTTTGCATACTTGTTCAAAAAGTTGTGAACTGATAAACAGACTGACCAAATACAACATGACAGGATAGGCATGAAGAGCATTTGAATGTTTTAGATATTTTCAATACTGCAACATCTTTCTTCTTTCATTGAACAACCCTTATTTCATTGCACTAACAGACATTCTCTGAATTAGTATATATTATGTATTGTGTATAATTAATAACAAAAAAAAATTTGTAACATTATCCTTGCGTCAGTTCAAACAAAGTTGAAAAAACAGAAAAAAAAATTACAACAGTCTTCACACACACACACACAGACTCCAACCAGAATTGCACCATTGGTTATCACTCAATGTCACACAGACAAAACACCCTGACGACTAAATCTGTCACGTCCTTAGTACAGAAAGTCTGAAGGACTCCGACCTCTTTGGAACCAAAAGACTGGCCACTGAAAAAAATCAAAAGGCAGTTTAAATATAAGTAAGAGTTGTGTCCCTTTTTCAAAAATTGCACAATATTTGGTGAATCAGGCTTCAACAAAACTAAACTATGAGTACATGAAAAGCAACTCAGGATTGTACTGAGTTTGATGGTTTTTGGACCCATCAATTAAGCCCTAAGGAGCCTGGATGTGAAAATTTTGGATATCTTTCCCCTGTCATCCATATATAGCCCCTTTATAGTAAAAAATTGTTTGGAATTAGTTTTGCCAATTCAAAGAAGTTGAAAAAGTCAAAATTTCAAGTCCATTGGTACAGAGACTGGTAACATACTTATAATGCTCATTTCACATGATAGCTGTAAAAACAGGTAGGAATTATTTCTTTTATATGGTAGTGATGTAAAATTGATCATAGTATGTAACAGTCCTTTCAGGGGCATATAACCAAGAAAGTGATAATGAAGATCACTGATTCCCAATAGGTTAATTGTTTTGCCACTAGTTCCCCTGAATCTGAAATACAGTATACATACATTTCAAGTTTCATTCCTGATCAATGTACGTAAAATTATCCATGCATAATTTCAAGGTCTTATTTAATAACAGTATAAGATACTGATCACACTTCAACAATGCATTCATACTTCTCATAGTCATTTATAGATAACATGGGTATCTTACTATATACATATATATACATTGTAGTGTGTTAACCCCAGTATGGTGAAAGTACATATATATTTGCAAGTACACAAATAAAGCTTAAATATGTGAATGAAGTGCTGCCAGAGATAGAAGGCAAGGATTAGCATAATACTATAAATTAATGTAACATGTACTTTGTTCCAATATTGTGTGCATAAAGGCATACAACTGTGTAAAATTACCACACAATACTGCCACTGTTACATTTTTTATGCTTAAAATGGTAGTTTTCAAATAAAGAGCAAGAAATGGGACTTGCTTTGCTTGAGATGAAAAAAAAAACAAGGGTAAACATGAATAAACTATTGTAGTGATTTAGGAATAAAATAATGGTTATTCATTCATTTTCAAAAACTGGTGCTTTTGAACGTTTGTGTTATTTTCATCCAATGAAACAAACTTTCACTCTTTGTATAAACTATGATATGAGATTTTTATGTTAGTGTTTTTCCTTTCAATCTGTGCTTTCAGGTTTGCAAGCTAGCTAGAAAAAGAAAACAACTTGCCATATGAATTATATGCTTGATTCAGGATGTCCATGCATGAAGTTACATTTTGGCTCATGGGAAATAATTATTCTTCTTATTTCACATATGAACAACAAAGTATAGTTTATGACAAGAAATATGAAGCAAAATAATTCTGCCATTTGAAGTCCCTGCAGATACTTTTAAGATGTATGTGACAGAAAAATATGTTTTAAAAAAAACATACTGTCAGTATTGAAACTTTGATTATTACCCATACAGTTTCACAGCAAGAATGGATGATATTGCATATGCCGCATTAAGCAATTACAACTTATTGTGATTTAGTTCAGGGAGTTAAGTTATTATACAAGAGGTCATACCTTTATTTACGATAGATCTGAGTGTCTGAAAAATTAGGTCTTATTTTTTTACTATGTTGATAGTTTGTAACACTAAGCCATGCTTTTGTACATTAGAGTATCAAATAAAGTTAAAATTTTGGATAATTTAAATTTTTACAAAAAAGTTGTTTCTGTATAATAAATCTATAGTTATGTAAATATGAGTATAATAAACGTGTTAACTTCTATATTTCTGATAAATATAAAATTTATTTACATATGAAATGGATATTTAGATATTACATGACTATACACAATATATGTCTGCATATAGTATTGTGGCTCTTTTCCTGAACAAACTAAAATTCTAACCCTTGCAATAAAAGAAAATTAAATTAAATGATATCTTTAATTTTTACATTTCAACTTTTAGACTTCAGATACACTGATGGCACAAAAATTTTCTTTACAGAAAAACACTGAACACTTTTCAAGTGAAAATTCTTAATCATACATTTAGGCTAGTGTCACTAGAAGTTCCACAAATCCATGTAATGTACATATTTTGTAAGGCCTAGCCATTAAGGCAATATATTGTGCTTTAAAAATTTAAGTAGCAATTAAATGAAAGAAAAAATTGCAAATAAAAAAAATAACACAATCCATTAGTACACCTCAGCAAACTGGAAAACTGCATGTTAAAGAAGAAGCATTTTCTTTTTTAGTAAAACAGCTAGGACAAAAAAAAATTAAACTTGCTTGAAATCAAAAAATAATACTAAGCACAAAAATAATCGAAAAAAAACTGCAGTAATTAATACACACACATTAAAACTATTTCTACACTAAAGCCTTACATCTGAAATAATAAAATATACATACATCTATTGTCCTGTGGTGTCATGGGCAGCTCTGTAACTCGTTGTAATGCACAAATCCACTGATTCATATCCTCACGTGTCTCGGCACTAAGAATAAAGTCTCGTTCTGGCGTGTGGAGGGTAAACACGTAACCCTGGGTATTACAGTTATCACTGCAGCCCATACTCACAGAGAAATCCCCATCTCGATGCCCAATAAACACCTCTCCTTTTGGATAAGGATGCTGAAAAAAATTGTATGAATTAATAGACTTTCTCCTTGTAGAGTCATTGCTCATAGAAAGCTTCCTCTTTTAATCGAAATGCAAAAGTAAGGAATTGACCCTATTAAGTACCCGGTGCTTATTTTACATACAGTATATACAGGTAAACTTCGTTATCTCGACATTGACGGGACAATCGGAAAATGTCGAGATATCCGAGGTGTCGAGATATCAGAGTTAAGACTCGACGTCCTTAATTTTACTGCATAGTGACATGTAAATACGTATATCTACGTACATTATGTACACGTCTTCAATAGACTGTACCTCGTTTATTTCAGCTATCCCTTCATTCAAGTATTTATTAGAAAATCTAAAGTTATTCATAAATGTAATTTATGAAATGCTTCCTTTTTTATCGAAATGTTCTCGTTTTACTAATAACAGTTTTCCATCTTGATTCGAGACTCTGCATTCCGCGTGCAAATTGCTTTATCAGAACAGGATATGAAATGCGCTCTATAAACTTCGAACCGTAACGGTGCAAAGTCGACTTCCGTGATACGAAAAAAAATAATAATGCGTATTTAAAAAAAAAATCATTTCACTTCATTTTAATTTCATCATCATTCATCTTTTTTTTCATTGTATTTTCAAATCAAATTTTAAACGGATTTGATTATTAAAACAAACTTAATGATGTTACACATGCATGAATATTACAGTATTTAATAGTCGTGCATGTCGTAGATTGGATTGTTTGCTGTTGAATGCATTTTTACCACAATTTCTAAGTTAAATTGAATTCAATGTGTATATTATTCATTGCAATTCGGCATCTTTTTTTCTTATGAATGATAAAGTTCTGTTAGATTTCGACATAAATAAACGGTTGTACATTTACGCAGAATCGAGTAGATTTATCAATGATATTACCCAAGCTGAACATTAAACAATTAACGTATTAGAGACGCCAAGGGGGCTTGGGATTTCCTACAAACACATTTCTACAGAAACAGTATGTAGTCAAAATATGGGTGCCAAAGGTGTGAATTTCTGACGACGTTGAGATACACGGAGTCGTCCGTGCGTGACGAGCGACCAGCTGACAAACAATTAGGTTAAGTAGAGCAGAAAATTTCCCCAATGTCGACATAAACCAGGTAAATTTTGCTCTTGGGACTGTGAATATTCGTCGAGATAAGCGGGGTAGTCGACATTACCGAGGTCAACATATCAGAGTTTTTGCAAATCATTTATATAGTAAATAATGCCGGGACCGCGGACAGACGTCGACATATCCCAGGTTGTCGACATATCCGATGTCGAGATACCGAAGTTTACCTGTACATGTACATGCAAGTACATGCAATCTTCTGTTTATACATGTTCTATACAGCTCATAAAACCTCAAGATCACATAATACTGTGAAATCAATTTGTACAAGGATGTGATTTTGTTTTTGAGGTATAAAGAGATATGTAAAATGTCATGTATAACTACTAAGATATTCATCTATAAAAATCAAATATTTACTAATCTGTAGTTTTTCCTCAAGGCATAAAAGTTTTAACTCCACAAAAATATTTGATTTTACAGTACTTCATTTCCTTTCTCTGCATTCATTCGTGTACTTAAGGTTTAACTAAGTTTGAACAATGATAGATTTCTAAACCATGCACCATAATTTTATCTGTTTCCAAGTTAATAAATATATTTATTATATATATTACCAGAGGTTCTTCTAAATACATAAGTTTCCTTTTATCCAGTGTAAAAAATCGTTTTTTGAAAGGCTCATTTCTGGGGCCCATTTTCTTTAACCAGCCCTCTAGAATAAAATCTCTGGTGAGTTCTTCTGCTAACTGAAAAATACAACATAGACATTTAATTTTCAAAAGCCAATATACTGTTAAGTATTAAAGCACTGTATTCAATGTTAAGAAAAAAATAAAAAATGTCAAATTGTGCTTTTCTTGAAATTGATTGGAACTTTTAAAAACAATGGTCAAATCTCTCACCTGAGTACCTTGACTAGTGAAAAGCAGAAAGTTTTCTGCATTCAAAATTTTAAAAATACGGCAAAGAGGGAGGGAACAACAATTTTGGTTCGTTATCATAGAAATCTGTTATATCTGTTACATTTGCAACATGTTTTTAATCCACAGGAAAAGACAATCACAATGCTGTAAGCATGAATTCATTAAAAGTGTTTTCCTTAAAAACATGTTTTACTGTACATGTATGAGTACTAGTGGTCCATTCTTTACTGAGAAGTCATGATTTGATCAAGCATGATCAGCTCCACCCAGTCACCCCTGGGGTCATGAGACTCAGGATTTGTACAAACTTGAATCTACCCTACCTGAGGATGCTTCTATGCAAATAACAAAAATATGTTTAATACTGAAATCAAAAATCCATAAAAATGATCCAAATCCCCAATGGAATGCCACTTATATTTCTGAGAGTTCCAAATGAAAAAGCTAATTATCTATTGCTATTTATTTTACACAAGCAATAGATTTTTGAGTTACATGTTTAAACTGAGACGGTAAAATTTAACAAAATGTTACTTGGCAATGCATTGTGATTTAATTTTCCTTTCACAGATACTCCTTCTCTTGAAATTTATGGTAAGTTCTTCACCCTTTAAGAGTGCCCCTCTCTCTAAACATGCTAAAGATAAGTGGTTACATGTTTTTATAAAGATACCTACATCTGCCTCTTCCCTATCAGGGAAAGCCACTTTCTTCCTCTCCAGTTTGGCTGCTCGGATAGCATTATACCAGTCTACAGCATCCTGTCAACATATCATCAAGATATAAAAACATACTTAGGACATTCAAAAATATCTTTCCTTTAAAAAAAAATCCATCTTCAAACACAGTGGCATATACAGCAACATCTTTACCAAACCGAGTCAACCAGATCCTTTTTTTTCAAAAAATTTAGAAAGAGTCCATGCAAGTACTTAATCTTACAAAGTTTTTGAAATAACAGAATCAATACTGTAAGATCACAATTTTGTGGGGTAAAATGTTCAAGATTTGAGAAAGAAATATTGGTTTGTGGGGATTTGCAAGACTTCAAGGTGGGAGAAGTGTTGAGTAATAATGCATATTAAATTTTACATTCGTGGTGGTCATAAATTCGAAGGTCTCTACATACCTCAAAACCATTGAAAATCAAACCCCACAAAAATTAGTGATTTCACAATACATAAAAACAGTCACCTTAGGATCATCTGTATATACAAATAGGTTCCTCGTAGATCCTTTAGCAAAGTAAGTGATCTGCATGCCATTAGGGTTCCCAATTTTATCTGGGACAAAAACTATATTAAGGTCATCTAGATTGATCTCAGCTTTGGGTTTCTCATCTTTTTTACTCTGGAAAAAAAATTAAATGGAATAAAAATTCATAAAGTGAGAATTATCTTAAAATTCTTTTCTCATTTGAACTGATTTTCAAAATTTCAAGTTCATGTGTTAAAATATTATTCTGCAACTGAGAAGTAAGGTAATGCCCCCCTTCCCCATATATGTTTTTTTCCTTCTAACTTTTTAGTTTAGTTAGTAAAGTATTCTCTATCATGTCTATTGTAACATAACTCAAACAATCTTAGGAAGCTGTCAGGAAGATATTTTTTACTTTAACCAACATACCAAAAAAAAAATACTCTCCATAAAGGATGTCCTGATTAATATTATAATTTGTAGTTTCAAAGCTATGTGCCTGACATGAATACCGTGATGTAATCTTTAAATAAATTAATAAGGAAACTATTAGCCTTTTTCAACCGTGTACTTGAAATTTCAGAAAACAAATAACAACAGTATTATATAATTTGCAAAATCAGTAGTAACTTGAAGATTGCAATTTCCTTGGACAAGAATGAAAAATAAAAAAAATATGAAAAATTATACCCCAGGGTTTCTTTCTAAGAAAAAAAACATACAATAGAATTGTCAACTTAAATTTTTTTCATACATTAAAGGCAACAACTATTTTTTGATGTACTTATATAGACTGCTGCATTTTTCAGATTCCCTGATTACACTGATTTTGAGAAATTTTCACTTCCTTATGACCAAATATATGATATTTCCTTCTATTTTGAGATAAGAGTGATAGAAATCAATCTATAATGTTACAATGTTATAAGTGTCAGAGTAAAAGTTTTGTGTTTTATACTGTACTAGAGCATGTAGAGTGAGAGTCTTTAATATTAGGAAAAATGGCTTGAGCAGAAACTAGCAAACTGACCAGAAAAGTTAAGTCAAAGAATACATCAATATCAACAAGATTGGTGCAGTTGAATAGCTCTCTTTGATAATGTAACAGAATATGAAGTTTGAAAAATATCTTAATATTGTTTCTTTGAAACTTGGCTATATACAAACTTAAGAAGAAAATTTATGAGGTCAGGTCAAAGGACCGGTCAAGGTCAATAAATGTTGATGCAGTTGAATTATGCTTATCAATGTACTAGTATATCAGGATATTACGGTTCGATAAAAATATTTTGAATAGTTTCACTGAAACTGAGCTAACAGCAAATTCTGATGGTCAGGCAGATGGACAGATAGAAGGACATGATAGATATGCCAAACACCATAACATCTGCCATATTCAGGTGTGGCCTATAAACCCCTCAAATAATATCATAAAACATTATAAATTGTTGCTTCATTTTCAATACAATGAAGTTTAGGTATTTAATGCATGTACATCCACCTTTCAAGAAGTTGAAGTTACGATAACTTTTAAAATCCACAAATTTCATGAAGGGATATAAAAATATGTATTTATATAAGGCAGTAACAGAAATTAAACATTTCTTTTCAAGCATGATACACCCTAAAACACACTTACATTTTCCTTTGCAAAGTAAGACAATGTATTGTTTTCCCTTGATAAGATGAATTTCCTCTTCTGAAATTTCCTATCATCCCTCCCTTTTTTCCACATGATGCCCTCTTTTACGGGACAGTTGTATCCCGTGGGAACATCTGGGGTTTTGAATTCTAACCTACTGTATTTGGCTTTGATGAATTCTGATTTTAATACTCTAAAAAAAAAAAAAGACAAGACATTTTAAAGTATTCACCAGTTTGACATTTTGTACCACTTTGATTATTTTATAACCATGTCAAATTTATTTTGAATCTTTTTTTTTTCTTTTAAATATACACTGAAACTCATAAATATAAAAAAATTCAGATCTGAAACTTTATTGTTTTTTAACAATGGTATTTTTATTTCTCTGACTCAGACCAAGCCAAAATAACTACATGTACTTGTCTCATATGGATCAATTCTAACTCAGTTACAATGGGATGTTTAGATACTCACTCCACGTCATTATGATGCGGCTTTCTGTAGTAGGGAGGAATGAACTTTTCATACTCTTCATTCACTATTGTGTTGCCCTTGTCTGCCATCACCTGCAAATTCAATCAAAGTACTAAAAGTACTGCATGATGGAAGTTCTACTTGTTTTGCCTTAATATAAACCAATTGCAAAGACATTGTATGATATATTTGCAACATTCATTGATCTTTTACAATTACACTGTAAAAATTAATAAAACAAGCATATCAAAGAGGGAAGAAATCAAATATTTAAAATATTCTGCAGTGTTCATCTAGGGTGTAAAATTAATTGCCCCTGCCCCTATAAGCGCCCCCTTAGGTCTTTTTCAATCGTCAGGAAATAAGGGCCACCTGTACAGTGATTAAAATCAAAAAGAATGGTATCAAAAAATTGAAGAAAGTGAAAATGAAACTTTTCTATTACCCAACATATCTGTGGAAAATGAAAAATTTAGCATAATTTGGGTGGATAATCTTCACTTTCAGTAAAGTTAGACATTAATATTTTAGTGGTTCCTTGTATTTATTTATTTTTTAAAGATTAAATTAAATTATGACATTATATATCATAAAGAGAATACCAAAATAACTGCCCCCTTTTTGCAATTTTCTAAGCGCCCGGGGCGGTTAATAGGGATTATACAGTAATTAAATTAGCAACATTTTCAAAAGTTATTTTCTAATGATAAATTTGGCACATAATCAATATAATTGTATCAAAAATTATATTAATCCATCTATATATGAAAGCAATTTTACTCTTTAAACTCTTTAATGAATAATACATCAGCAAATATTAACTTGAGAAAAAAATCTGAATATACAAATAGTCTTATGCACTGATTGCATTTTCAGTATGTATTGCTCTGTTTATCATGTGTATAAGGTTATTATAAATTGATAACCTTTTGTTTAAACAAATGGTTTACAATTGCCTGTTTGTAAACAATTGAAGAGAAATCTGCTTAGGCCATCCTTCAAAAATTGTTTGTTTGGAATTGCCGCCTGAAGGGTTTCAGACACAGGAGGGAGGGAGGAAAATTATTTTTTTTTTTAATTGAAAACCTAATTTTACATAGATCTGACACTATATTTCAGTGTTTTGTATGGTGCATGTGATACATGTAATGGGCAAAAAAATTGATTAAATAAAAAAAAAATCTTCCTACTTTTGGTCAATAAAATTTTTTCAGGAGGGGGGTATTTCAATGAGGCGGGAGGCAATTCCAAACAAACTATAATTTTATTTTGGCCTTATATAAATATGGATATCTGATTTAAAATTAATCTGTATCAATACACATGGTATTATTCATATTTCCCTACATACCCTGAGTTTTGCATTATCTAGACGTAAACATATCTTAGGAACCTGTAATAAGAAGTCTCTGTAGAGATTGTAGCTCTACTAGTTTGTACTTATAATTATGAAAACAGAAGAGAAAAAAACACATGGACTTAAAACTAGGACTATAGCAACAATAAGAATGATCCTTGGTAACATCAGTTTTCATGGAAACCAAAGAAACCCAGAATTATGCATCTTTTTTCTACTCTATTTGACAATGTATAATGTATATAATAAAGTTTTCTTGAAAAGTTGTAATCTGACCAAAGCTCTAGGAAGAGTACCCTGTTTTGAAAGAATTTCATAGGAATTTTTTTTATTTCAAGGTACAATGGCAAAATGTTTTTTGAAATAAGTATACATACTGACATAAGACAACCATCTTACAATCATATACATGTACATTGTACAAGCTACCATGGCTACTCTGGTCTCTGACCAGTAGAGCCAAAAATCAACTTGTACACAAATGACACTTGTTGATGTCCAGTACATACTAAATGTACTGAGCTTTAGGGCAACAGTATAAGTCAACAGGCCAACTGACCTCTACCCATCTAGAATTACTTGTAGTGTTGTCATTCACTTTTCATCAAATTAGGCATAATTTAAAGTTCATTATCTTTCTAAATGTTACAATTGCTAGAGATAATAATCTTTTATGTTGGCACAGAATTCAATTCCTACTAGTCTGACAGCTAGAAAATTTAATAATTAGTCAAGAAAAATTTCTCTGATAATGTTAAATATATTCAACTAAACTCAAAATCTTTGGGTGCATGAAAGATAATTTATGCATTTTTAAGTAACCAAGTATCATTCTATACAGGAAATATTCATAGGAATGATCTACATGTCAAATCAATCTATACATTTAAAGAGTCCAATTTACATTTCAACCTTTGATGCAGCATATTTATCCAAACATCTAAACCTTACTAAAGAAGATATTTTAAAGTTAGTGACCTTTTGCTTAATAACTTAGGCAAATAAAAAGAATATTTGGTAAACAATTTAACATGGCTTTAAGCAAAAAATTACAAATGCTGAAGATCATAGCTTAACATATATATGCTGAAGTTTATCACTTAGATATGCTGAAGTTTATCACTTAGATATACCTGGTACTGAGGTTCATAGCTTTATTTATGCTGAAGTTCATCACTTAGATATGCTGATGATTACAGCTTACTTATACATTTATACTGAAGTTTATAGCCTTCTTAAGCTGAAGTTTACAGCCTACTTATACTTCAATGGATGGCTTACATATGCTGAAATTGATAACTTACCTGAACTTGGTCCCCATCCCAGATATCCAGTCTGATAGACTTCACTCGACTCACATCTGTACCAAATCCTCGATGTACCCCCGAACAATCCAAACAAATAAATGCACCTATGTTACAAGATGCCCACTCTGGATCTGCAAAATAATGATGATTTAGAAATCAATTTTTAAAAAAACTCTCTAAGAACTCAGCAGTGAATCAAGATCAAAACCTCGAGCTTCCAATAAGCTACACATGGATGAATACTCATCAGCTAACTTATCACTAGGAAGGTTACCTTATTTTTGTCCAGAAGAATATAACTTCAGATTTACACAAAGCATCTAAAGTTGAAAGTCTGACATTAATCCTCATCTTCAGTATCTCCTATAAAAGTTCTCACCTATTAGATTGTCAATCCATTGACACATACACCAAGTTATTGCACAAATGTTTAAACAGGAACAGTTCAAAAGAGATAGTCCCACACCCCCTATCCTTAACAGAGCTATATGATATATTTCTCATAGATTCCATGCACCATCAATTTTTAAACCAAGGCAGGCTATTGATGGATAAGTTGATGTTACAGGGATTTCAAAAACTTATATTTTGTATTTTAATTCAATACATGTTGTAATGACCTTATTAATCAGATATAACCTATATTTGGCTGACAAGTTTCGTACCAATTGTTAGGCCTTTGTTTTTATACTTAATTTGACTAAAGAATGTTCCATCTCCCTCATCAATAATACCAAGGGCCCACAGCGGGTGAGACCTGTCAACAGGGGATGCTTACTCCTCCTTGGTACCTGATCCCTGATAGTCTGCAGCCCTTATATGATTTTTATTTTTTAATAAATGGATTACATACATCATGTATTGATACCTTAATTAATTTCACACAAGAACTTTTCCTAATAAAACCAATAGGTGTTTGTCTGTATATGTGTGTACTGATCATCATCTATTGGAATAAATGGTAAATTTGATCAACGGAATTTTTTTTTTCAATGAGTATGAGGAAGGGGGAAGCCCGGTTACCTCTTCTTGTCACAAAACAGCTGTTTGCACTCTATTTCTGAACCTTTTTTTTTAGAATACATATTGACAAATTATAGTTAGAACCAATCCTATGACAACTACAGTCAAATTGCTTTCATTTTGAAAAATTAGTATTCATTAACTAATTGATTTGAATACAATTAATATAATACAACCATTTATTTAAGTTTTCTTTTATTAAAAAAAATTGTGAGCTAGATCTTTTGTAACCTTTTATAGATTAATGTTCGGCATATTATCATTTGTGTTGTACTGAATAGGGATGTGCGATTTTATCGGTATACCGGTGTATCGCGATTTTTTGTTGCGTGATACGTATCGTGATACGGAGACCTAAATACCGGTCTTAAGGTACATATTATAAAGTCCAGAAATTATTCATTTAATTGTTCAATCTTTCAAATTACAATTACAGAAAGTGTAAAAAATGTTGTAAAAAGTGAAAAGAACGGCGTCTTACCGTCCAAACATAACTGATTTTATAAATTCAAGAAAGTAAAATTTTGTTTTTCAAGCATATTTTTTAGAAAAATAATGACTTTTCCTATAAAATCATTGTAAAAACTTCTTTTAAAAATATCATAATATTATTTTGTGATATAAATCGTGATATATCGCGATACGAAATGTTTGGCGATACCCATCCCTAGTACTGAACATGAAATCTACAAAAAGAAAATAAATATCAAAATAACTCTTTTTTTTTCTTTATATGCTTGAAATATGAATTTAAGAGCTGGATCTACATTTGTAGGTGTTGCACTCCAGAACACTTATACACACTTCAATTTGAGTATTTAAGCTCCATTTTCATTATAGAACAAAATTAATTTTCCTTGTTAGCCTTTTCTCTCTCAACTAAACTCTATAAATAAACTGAAATATACATGATAAATATAACCCAAATATAACATCAATGTATGATTCATGTTTCAATTTATATATTCTGTTTATATATTCTATACGCATGCTTGTTATACAGTGTAAATTGGTGATTAGAATATTATCTGGCAGAGGAAGCATTTTTCTTGACTTAAAAATTTCTTATTGAAAAAATGATTATAAATACATGTATACCTATACAAAAAGAAATGACTAACTTAACAAAAAATTAATATGTTGTCCTGAAAGTAGTTGGGTGGTATTATATTTTTACTGCTTACTACCAATTATAATTTTGTTCATGAATATTCTTCCACTGAATATTCTAATCTTAATGACATTCACAAATGGTAGTTGTGCTTTCCACATTTTAAACATGTAAAAAAAAAAATTATTTTATTGCTGTCAGTAACATCTAAGCCAATCTTTCAAAAAACTTTAAAAGCAGATTGATAACCATATATATAATTGGCAGATTTCTATTCAATTGTTTGTATGTCTTTCCTATCAATCAAGCAACTCTTTCTCTCTTAATATGTGTATGTATATTGTACTTCATGTATATGATTATTATCATTTTATACAAGTGTTAACAAATACAAAGTACTTTTTCTTTGCCCCACAGGGGCCCTTAATTGATTTGGTCAACATGGTCAATGAATTGAATTGTTCTTGACAGGACTTTCACCTGCAAGTCCAGGTGAAAGTACAGTGATGGTCAACTGCACCAATTATATCAAAGGACAGGAGAAAAGTTCAAAATGCATGGTTGGGCAGGGTATTAAACCTTTCTGCATAACTAGTCAGGTGCTCTACCAACCGAATTATCAAGGTTTAAATATCTATGACCCATATAAAGTAACATCAACATTTAGGCCTATGAAAAAACAACTTCAGATATTGATATGCCATACAGAAGTGACTCATGTGAAATCATGATAATAGAAACTGAAAAATGATTACTTCATTTAAGTATTTAATTACAAAAAAAGGATTGCACTAATTGTTTAATTTTTTAAAAAGAAAATAAACATGATAAAGCCCCAAGAAAATGTACAATTTCAAAACTGAATAACCTTCACTTCTATATTGTGCCATACAGTAGGAAAATGTCTTATTTCTGTTTTATAATTAATTGATAAATTAAATACTCGTTAATACATTTAAAAGATTACTTTTGAACAAACATCTCTAATATTCTATGCACTAAGTAGGCCTATACTTGAGGTGAGGATACAAAGATAACGTGTTCAAAGCGTAAGATCTGACAGTACATCGTACACACAAAATTCGAATGCTACATACTTTCTTTGCCACAGTCTGCACAAACGCCGTTTCCTGGTCTTCGAAGCAATTCCTCAAGAAACTTCTTGTGTTCCGCCATCTTGTAGAGCTACCTTCCGTAGCTACTATTTTTAATTCGGAGATTCACCTTGTGACGTCATTGATGCTTAATTTAGAAAAATAATTTATGTGTTGAGTAATTTGAACAAAAGGACATTCGGGTTGGCTTTGTGATTCATTTATTACTCATGAAAAACGTGACAATGACACAACTTTACAACGATAATTATATAATTATACAATAAAGTAGGTTAATTTGATTGAATCAAGCCACCCTCTTCTACGTATATATGAAGTAAATAATTTGTAATTGAAAAAAAAAAACATGTACATACATGTTTTTCCCACTGACCAGATATTTTGTTTAGTCACCAATGGACGTTTGCTTTAAATTTTGTTTGCAATTTTCTTTTTAAAAACAATTTCAGAGGTGCCTTATAGCCAAAACTAATGGCTGACGATACTGATGAGACGTTCCCATTCCAGGAGCATATTGCAAAGTTGATGAGTTTGATCATCAATACCTATAACTCCAAAACAGAAATTATCTTCTTGAGAGAATTGATTTCCAATGCTGCTGATGCACTTGACAAAATCCGATTTGAAAGTCTTACAGACCCATCAAAATTGGACTCGGCAAAGGAACTGGAAATCCGCATTGTTCTAGACAACGAAAATAAGACAATTTCCGTCATTGACACGGGCATTGGAATGACCAAAGCTGACTTAGTGAACAATCTTGGGACCATTGCAAAGTCGGGTAGCAAAGTCTTTTTAGAATCTCTGGAATCTGGAGCGGACATTTCTACAATTGGTCAGTATGGTGTGGGGTTCTACTCTGCATTTTTGGTTGCTGACAAAGTCAGATTGACCACCAAACATAATGACAGTAGGCAGTATATATGGGAATCTGCCGGTGGTGGATCCTTTAACGTAAGATCCGCACCTGAGAATACAATTGGTCGTGGGACAGAGGTCACTCTTTTCCTTAAGCAGACGGAATATTGCGAGGAGGCGCGAATTAAAGAAGTAGTGAATAAATTCAGCAATGTCATTGGATACCCTATCAAGCTCATAGTGAAAGATGGGACAGTTTCTGATTTGTAATTTAAATAATTAAGCATGCGTAAAAACAGAAAATTAATATTGAATGCTTTCGCACTAATCAAGAAATTACAATTATATTATTATTAGTGTACATTATATTCGTAAAACCTTGTGGAGAGGGAATGTTTTAATTACTATGACCAAGAATGTACCAAGTCCCCTACTCGTGGTTTAACAAAATTGTGCAATATACATGTTAGGCCTCATCAAATCTTTTTACATGTCAGATATGAATGATATTCAGTTTTTATTGTTTGTAATCATGTATTCCAGTATGGTTTTTTTTTCAGTGATATTATTTGTTTATATAGCTGTTCCTTGTGTGTGCAGGTTCATGATTTGTATTTCTACCCATATCAAAAAATAATACAGTAAAGTATATTTTTAATATACTTTTAATACATTCATTTTTGTACTTTCTTAAAATAATACAGAAAAAATATATTATTTTCCTATCACAAAAAATTCAGTATATCATTTTCGTATTAAAATTTGACTTTGATTTTGTACAGTGTATTATTTTTGTATTTTTTTGGACTTAGATTATTTTCAGTGTATTATTTTTGTATTTTTTGGACTTAGATTATTTTCAGTATATTATTTTTGTATTATTTCAGGACTTAATTTTTTCCAGATGTATTTTTTCTGTATCAAATTTGAACTTACTAATTTTACAGAAAAGTCTATACAGTTAGACTGTATCATTTCTGTATTAAATTTGGACTTAATAATTTTACAGACAGTTTGTCTGTATTATTTTTATATCAAATTTAGACTTAATAATTTTACAGAGTTTGTCTGTATTATTTTTATATTAAATTTGGACTTGGTAATTTTACAGAAAGACGATCAGTATTTTTTGTCTCAAATTTGATTTTAGTTCATTTACAGAAAATTCCATATATTTGGTCTCTATTTCTTTTTGTTGTTTGGGGGAGGGGGGGTTAAATTTAGACATATTTTTTTCTATTTACATTTGTCTTTATGAACTTTATAAATTTAAGAGAAATTCCTTGCAAAATGTCTGCTGCTTTTTTTTTTTAAGTTTATAGCATACCCGGTACTTAGAAAATTTATATTATATATTTTTTTTCAGGAATCTTGGTATCCGATTATCTAGAACTTAAATAAATAATTGGTACTAAAATTTATGTTAATCTCAATCAGTGGTAATCTAGAGAAATATTTCCATCTTGGGCATGAAGATTTTACAGCGGGTTTACATTAACTTTTCAGCGGGTTTACATCTTTCACTGTTTAGATCTATCACACAACAGGTGGTCTTGCAGGCTAACAAATGGTTACATCATACTACAATTCAGAAATCACGTGATTTACCTGTGCACATGGAAAGTCCCAACTGGCAACTAGCTAATACCATGCATACGATGTTTTCTTCAGATTTTAGTAAATATGTGCATTTTTTTCACTCAGAGAAGGAATCATATTCAAATTATCCTAAATAAATTTCAAGAAATGAGCTTACAATGTTCAAGTAGAAAGGGATGTGCAAGTAGTAGGTTTCCTAATTAAATTATCAGTGTGTTTAAGATAGATATTTACACTAGAGAATGTTAGCTGAAACTAACTTAGGTTGTTTTTTTAGCCTTTTGTCACATCACATTCAGTTTTTGGTACAAAGTAAGTTGTTTTTATTCAGATAAAATATCAGACGAGTTTTTCTTCAACTCTGTGTTTATAATTCTACTCTCAGTTTAAAAAAAAAAAAACGATCCTGATTTTAATTAGTTAATAATTTACAAGTTAATTATGTTTGATCTTGGGCTAATTCTTGTATAATCAATGCAATCAAATGACAGTTTCTCAAGTTAAATCTTCTACCCTGACAGCCTGAGGCATGTTAATTAGCCAGGTGGCTGTGTGAATCGTTCAAGCGTGAAGTGATTTCCTGTCGTGAATTCACAGTTGGTCAATTGTTGGTTGCGTTATGTAAACAAGAGATTATCAGTATGCACTGAATCAACAGAACAGCTAAGGAATATTGCCAACACTGGGAATATTTATTAATTTTTTGTCAGGAAAAAAGGACATGGCGCCGAGAAAAGGGGGGCATGGCTCTATACCTTGTTATTTTGCTTTAGATTTAACACTAAATTGATCATTCAACTTGTATAATTAAAAAAACAAAACAATATGGCTGACTAGAAATCTTTCATCTGTAATCGGAAAATTTCTTAAAAACAAATATAACGATTATAAGAAATGAGTCCTCCTAATTATTCTAGTAATGATCAAGGGTTTATTAAATTGATTTCATATTACTTATTAGACTTCGTACATAAATACATTTCCTTAGACTGTTAAAAAATATTTTATATTTAAAAATCGGCAATCTTCGTAAATAAGGAGCTATTTGATTGGTCAGATTTTAAAATTTTTCTTTGCTTTTCTCTGATTGGTTAACGGTAATTTACCCACGCCATTTTGAAAAATAGATCGACGAACAGAATTGAGAGAGTTGTGATGTTTAATGAAAATTTAGCTAGTATTCGCCGATGAAATTGGTAGAAAATAGACGTTTAGCTACAGCATGTTAGCATGGATCACAATTTTAAACAAAGAAAAGCGAAAACGGAAGGAGGTTGGCGTTTTTCAAGCATCATGCCCTGGCTTTCCTGGTGTAAACAACGCCATATGCGGTAAGAATTTAAATAAAATAGCACAGTAGTTTCAATTTTTAAAATGTGAAATGTAGATTAATAAATGTTAATAATATCTTTTATAACCAATTCATAGTAGGTCAAATTGAATGCAGATATATTGGAGATGTTGGATTTGTGGCGAAAGAGAGTTTTGTTTTACTTCTTTCTATCTTGAATTGTATGGATAATTACGGGCTTTCAACATGTTCAATGGCAGATGATATTATTTACATGGACCAAAAATGACTTAAAAATTAATTTCACCTTATCCCTCAGGCCTAAGCATGGAATTATAACAGATAAAATCATCTTGGCATACAACCAATTAAATTTTGAAAAGTGAAGGGGGTGGGGGGTGGGGTAATCATTGCAACTAAGCTTCATGGATTTATGGTTTAGCATACTTATAATTATTTCAAAAATGACTTGAACAGTCTGTGTGGTTCCCTATCGTATATGATTTAATGATACTAGGCACAAACTAATTATTTTTTATATCAATATATGATGATCCATGTTTCCCTTCCCCAATATCAGTTTAAGATTTCAAATCAAATGACCCCCCCCCCCCCCCAATTCCAATGAGGTGTATTGACAGTTTTATATTTTCATTTTTTAATGGTCTTTATTTCTACCTGTTCTGCAAAACATTTATCAGTATCATTACTTTTTCAGTTTGAGTGCCTCTACAGAGCCAAAGAAGAAAAGCTGATTAGTTATAGAGGAATAGCTAGGACACCTACCCACCCACCCTCCCACCCTACCCCTTGAAGCATTACAGGTGTGTAACATTGACAAATGACAATATCAGCTAATCATGTGAAGATTTCTTTTTGTGTGTGTCTGTGCATCTATTTTTGATATACCCCAGTACATTTTGATATTCTATTTTGTAGTCTAAGATTATGCAGGACCAAGCAGGATGACAGTGAGAAAACTGGAGATGTACTTCTTCAATAAAGTAAAGTGCTGTGCAAAAGAAACCCCAAAGCAGAGAGAAGATCTAGACTTTTGAATTCATATCTCATTATAAATGTACAATTTACAAAGGCAATAAGATTGATAAAACATGACTTAGAAATGAGGACAATTGAAGAGTGAATACTGTATGTAAGGCAGAAAAGATCAAGATTATTGCACAAAAAGTAACTAAATCAGTAATCTAAAGCCATTTCTCTTTAAAATCTGATTGAAAGCTGCATTTAAGAAGTTTTTCACGTTTTTAGTACTTTTCTAGGCACTGCTTTGTATTATTTAAAGCTTTTTTATGTACTTTTTGTCTATCATTCTTGTGCCTTTTTTGAACTCCTAAATGTATTTTTTTTTTTTTGTACCTTTCAGAATGTATTATTTTTAGATTTTTTTTATTTTAAAATCGATTTTAATACAGAAATAATAGACTGATACAAAATTAATACATTTTGTATTATTTTCCTATTTTTTTTTTTTCAAGGTGCTCCAAATAATACAGAAACAATAGACTGATACAAGATTAATACATTTTGTATTATTTTCCTATTTTTTTTTTCAAGGTGCTCCAAATAATACAGAAATAATAGACTGATACAAAATTAATACATTTTGTATTATTTTCCTATTTTTTTTTTTTTTCAAGGTGCTCCAAATAATACAGAAATAATAGACTGATACAAAATTAATACATTTTGTATTATTTTCCTATTTTTTTTTAAGGTGTTCCAAATAATACAGAAATAATAGATTGATACAAAATTAATACATTTTGTATTATTTTCCTATTTTTTTTTTTTTTCAAGGTGCTCCAATTAATACAGAAATAATAGACTGATACAAAATTAATACATTTTATATTATTTTTGTATTTTTTAGTTCTTCTCTAAATTGTATTATTTTTGTACTTTGGATTAGGATTTAATACAGAAAAAATACAAGAGTACAGAAAAAATACATCAAGTGTATTATTTTTGTATTTTTACTGAGAAATAAAGTATATTAAAAATATATTTTTTTGTGTTTCATTTCTAAGAAAGTGTATTATTTTTGACCTAATTTGGAACCAAGATAAAAAGGGTTCCAAATTTGGTCATTAAAAATATACTTTTTTTGTATTATTTTTGTATTATTTTAATCTATTATTTTTATATTTATTTTCGATATGGGTAAGGAAAGATATTTTTTGACATTGGGTAAAAATATATTGAATCAAGCTTTGCTATACTTTATGGATTCTGGATAGTGGGTTCAATGATTGGGTTAATTCTGAATTTAATTTTTATTTTGTTCTTCATCAAATTTATCTGGAAGAAAAAAAAAACAGAAGTCCTTGAACTTCTCATAAGGTCACATGTGGTAACCATAAATTAAGTAAAATTTCACAATTTGATTTATATAAACTCTGCACTTTTTCTTATTGATAGCATCTTTTCATGGACATGAGAATAAATCATGTTTTTCTTAAAATTCACATCCAAGAAATAAATGTCTGCAAGAAATGCTTTAAAAATAACACTGCCATGATATATATATTCACAAGCTTCAAGAAAAATGTGTACCCAAGTGTGCTTGATAAAGGAAAAATTTTTCCAGGTGATGTATTTTCCACTACATTTTTTTCCCATGTTTTGAATAACACGTTTTGAAGTGGATTGAAGTAGTAAAGGGTGTATTGATTGTTGTCAAATGTCCACAGCAGCATTCATTTA